ACAAATGGACACTGTCTGCTGCTGCATGGAATCAACCTCACCTTATGAGGTGTATGCATTCATGCAGAGCTTCTGCCTGTGGCTGTGTGTCTAACTGAGGGGGAAAGTAGGACCTGAATTAACACAAAAGTGTCATTATGGACTAGCAAGGGGCCCAAATTCATGCTTACCAACCAAAAATGAGTCCTCAGTGCTGCTTGTCAATTTCACTGTTTCCCTAATCAAATCCCTTTCTCATTTTTCTCAAGTATTATTTCAAATATTCTTCATTCTCCTGAGATCACTAACCATGCTTCCCATAGCAATAGCCCTTCCTTGTACTCTCAGCAGATGAATCTGCTTCCCATTCCATGAACACACTGAAGTTCAGGGATTGCCTCTTCTGATGAGTATGCTGGGGCAGGCCTTGCTTCCTGGACATCCCACTTGCAATGATGAACCCATGACTATAAAGACCTGGTCTTCTCAGCTGGACTTGGAACAACTGGAAAGGCTCTTGAGTTCCCCATAGAGCTGACTGAGACCTTAATTGAGACTCTGGGACCATTAAACTTCTCCCTCTCTCAATACTGCTTCATCCCTTCCTCACATGTTGACTACCTAAGCACTCCATAATGCATTCCTAATGATAATCCCTGTCTCTAAAATCTGTTTCCCCGGGAATACTTGGCCCACCAGGTCTGGTGCCTCTGCTTTGGAAACCTCCTCTTCACATCCCCATTTCCCACCAATCTCTACTTAAAGCCTCTTAGTCTTAGATTCTTTGAACTGGAACTGGTTAGTTCCTCTGGCCTTTACCTGGTGTTCCTCAACCTTCTTGATCTATTTGTCGCATTCTTATAATCTGTGAGATACATCATGTCAAATATAACTGGCCTCTATAAAAAAAAAATCAGATCAGATCAGTTTTGTATGTCACAACCCCTTTTGGAATCATATTTTTTCCTTTGTAGCACTTTGATTTATGTCCATCTGCCCTCTCAGAATTTAAGCCTGCCAGCAGGGTTGCTTGGTCTTGTTAACCACTGCATCCTGGATATTTTGAATATTTCCAGATGTTGTGCTAAATGCTGGACATGAAGGGCTGAGCAAGACAAAGGTCTTCCACTCAGGGGTTTCTGATCTACTGAGAGAGACTGTAAAGGTGTTAAAAATGTAGATATCCATTTTACTAATGAAGAAACTAAAGCTAGTGTCCTGGACAAGTTCCCATGGTAAATAAGAAGAACAACTGAGATTGAACTCCAACTCAAGGGCTGGGGTTGTGGCCCACTGGTGAACGCTTGCTAAAAAGTATGATGCACTATATTCGATTCTCAGCACCAAATAAAAAATAAAGGCATTATACCCATCTACAACTAAAAATATTGTTAAAAAAATTCCCACTTCTGAGTCAGAGAGGTAGGAAGGTTGGGAGGGATGGCAATGAGTTTAACTACATTGTTCTGCTTTGGTCTGAAATAGGTAGTGTTTCTTCTGAATTACTAAAGATTTTTCTTTGAGTTCCTAGTAATTAAGAACTGTGTTGCCCAGTATACAGTAGTCACTTGCCACATGTGACTATTGAGCCCTTAAAAGGTGACTGGTCTGAATTGAAATGGGCTCTAAATGTAAAATGCACATTGGGATTTCAAAGACTTAGAATAATGAATGCAAAATACTTCACTGACAATGTATATTAATCACGTTAAAATTATAATATTTTTGATAGATCTAAATTTTAAAAATGTAAAAGCCCCCTTAGAAGATGTTATTTGTATGCAAAAAAACTGAGCAAAAGTGTTCAGTAAACTGGGAAGAGGCCTACCAGCTCCGGGTAACAGGGACCTTGGGAATAAAGAATGTGTGTAAGTTGGATGAATGAATTAAATGAATGTTGGTTAAGAGAATGTCAACTTTAAATAATCAAGACAATAACACATGGTGTCATAGAAAAATGCAGTTGATAAGATACAAAGCAATTGGTGGGACACATGAAGTAGATGAATATTTGGTGACAAGTGACTTGATGACTTATGAATATCTCAGTGGGGGTGGGAGTCAATGTGTAAACACACAAAAATATAATCACTCCAGAAAGCACTCATTTATGTAATGTAGAAGTTTAGTATAAATTTAGTTTACCATGAGAAATGAGCCTAGAATGTGCTGGTGAATAATGGCAATAAGCTGCATGCTGGGTTTATAGAATCAGAAGTACGAATATCAATGAAATAATATAAGAATAATTCATTGCAGTTTGCTCTTGTTAAGCATTTTTATTTTTCTCTGTTATCCAACATGGGCTCGATTTTGACTTATTATTGAAGTGTAATGTACATACAGAAAAGTGCACATATCATTAATAATGGAGCTTGAATTTTTACCAATAGTGAACATTATCCACAAAATCAGCAGTCAGCACAAGAAATGGAGCAGTGCAGCATCCCAGAAACACTCTTGTGTTCATCAACCCTCCCAAGCAGGGTAACCATTATTCTGACTTCTAACAGCAGAGTTAGCTTTGCCTGTTTTTATACTTCTGTATAAATGAAATCATATACTATGTAATCTCTTATACCATATACTTAATTTTAAACAATCAACCCAAGCCTCAAATGGTTGAATTCTAGAGTCAGCATTTTATTGTGAGTTTGGATAAGCCTCTTAACCTAAGCTTATTTCCACATCCATAAAAGTGGATTACAACAGTGTTTACCTCATAGAATTATTGTGAGGATTATATGAGATTGTGTATGTAAAGGGTTTAGCATAGAGGCTGACATATGGCTGTAGCTGCTACAATGAACTCAAATTTTTAGTCTGCACGAGTCTCCAGTGAACCACCTAACAACCAATTCTGCACACTGGGAGGAAAAATATCCACCCTCTCTGGGCAGAGTTAACCTTTTCTCTACACATAAATGAGCAATACACATGTAATAGGAAACTTGGCTACTTGATACATCTAATTTTTTTTATGGCCAAAGAAGAAATATTTCTGTCATTTCCTCTTTTAGAATGTCAGCTAAAGAGAAGGGTACTATTTACCAAAGTATCCTCAGTAACTAGCCCAGGGTATAGTAAGTGCCCAGTTAAGTTGAATAAATAAATAAGTGCTAACTGTATTAGGACTTGGGAAATTATGTCAGCATCTGCTCAAACCTTTGAGCTATGGTTGGCAAAACCCCAGTAGTTCAAACCCTGTGCTGGCCAGGAAAAATCTAACCAAATCTAGCACATTCTGTACTTGGAACTTGAATAAGCACATCAGGTCAGAGAATTTCAAAAATAAGAGCCATACATTACACTACTTTTGATACCACATTTGCCTCAAACTCAATAGTTTTTAATGTACTTATGTCAAGATACTGAAAGCTTCAAAAGTACTCTTCCTAGCACATTGGTCACAAATAATTTTTTTCCAAGTACACTTTGTCTTGGTTTTCTAATATATTTCAAATATTCTTGACCACTCTGTACTTATTTTTAAAAAGGACTGGAAAAAATATAATATTCCAATGGAATTTTACTTGGTCTAATATACCCACTTCTACTTACTATAATAAATTTCACTTATCAAAGTAAGAAGTATCTCTTCAAATAGTATCATGTTTTACATTGAAATTAAAGGTCCAATTAGCTGGCAGGTCTTTGTATAACTAGATAAGTCAAACAGAAAATTACAGTTATAAAAATGAGCTAAAAATTTTAAGAAAGTTAATAGTTTCTTAACTATAAAGCAAAATTGCCTTCTCACAGAAACTAAAAAACAAAAGCTATTTGTCATATAAGTATCTTTAATATTCTCCAACAATCAAGACTAATTTTTAACATTTTTTCAGTTTAACTTTTAGCTAGATTTTCTAAGCACCATGATAGACACAGAAAAGAAATAGTTATAAATAGCAATTCCTACTTTTCAAAAATATAAATTTAGTGGAAAAGTTTTATGGAAGCGCTAGAATACTCAGGAAATGATTCACAGCCTTGTGCCTTAAAGGACAAATGAGATTTTAACAGTCTAGAAAGAAAGAAAAGCAGTCATGCAGAGAGAATATAAAAAACTCAGGCATGAAGAGAGGTAGATGCACTTGTCTTGGGGATCCAAGACAACAGCATGATGAAAAATGTAATGTGGGAAGACTAGCCAGGTCCAGATTAAGAAGTGAAGAATTATTATTTAGGCAACAGAGATCTGTGAAAGGTTTATAAATGAGATGTGATCATATCTATGTGCTTTTTATATTTCTTTCTGCTTATATATGAGAATGTATCTAGTCCTCTCAGCAGTTTAATTTCATACTGATAATTAATAGACTGGCATTCATGTTACATGTATTAGTCTTATAAACTTGATATTAGCCTTCTCCTGTGGGGTAAACTCATTTTTCAGTGAGTTAATTCCAACAGATTTCTGAGACTAGAAGGCTAAATTAAAACAACAGTGAATTCACCAAGGTATGTGATGCTGCCAAGACTTGATATGGTAACCAAGTGGCCTTTCCCAGAGAAAACACCCTGATGTCACCACACAGTTTCTTGATATTTCTATAGAATAAAACTCAGAGATATTGGTGCAATAATCCAATCCAAGTGTAAGAGAAAGGAATGGAATTAGGATAGCAGCATTATGCAAGCTGAGAAATTACAACAGATTTCAGTAAAGAGGTGAAGAAAAGATAGAAGATTATTCAGGGGATGAAGGAAGGGAAAGTAATACCATTTAGAGGTAGAGAACAAAGGAAGGACAGGCCCAAGTTGGGAAAAAGGAAATATGCTTTGGTTATGTCATACTTGAGGTGCTGACAGAAGATTCATGTGGAAGTATCTACAAAGCAGTTGAAAATATGGTTCTGAATGAGGCGCAGTGAAGAGGCCATGTTGCATTAATAGATAAAAATCACCTGTAAAGGGAATTCTAAGAGAAAAAAAAGGTCTAAGAACAGAATGTTGGGTTCAGTCCTTAAGTGTATCAAGTCCATAAGACAAAAAATGGAAGTGAAATGAGCAAGGCCAAGTCAGCTTGTACACAGATGCTTTATTTGGATGTTAATATATGTCAACACTGTATGCAAGATTCTCTTACAATAGAAAATTTCTTCATATATCAAAAAAAGCTCAATTTAGTCAGGGTAATTGCTGTATTAATGTGAAAGCCTTACAACAAAATGCTGTATATATATTATATGATATATGTGTAGTCAGTTTCCAGGAAAGTATGGCTGCTACATGTATGTCTGGCATTTTTATAACAATGAAAGAAATTTAAATGAACACAACCGTAAAAAAGGGAGAATTAAGATGCCTGACATATTTACAATTGAAAATCTTGCAAAAAAGCAACAAAGCAGTTAACTGGAGAATTCAACCAATACCAATCCAAAAATGTACTATGTCCAACAAGCCCAGGCTTATCCACAATATATTTCCATTTGGGATAATTTAATGCTCAAGAAAAATTAGACTTTAAAAAATATAGCTCTTCTAAGATATTATACTTTGGTGGTTTAGAGACTATGTATATCCAATCCAGCCAAGGGCTACATTAAAAAAAAAAAAACACAAAAAACAAAAGGCCATTATATGCTATCAGTTTAAGGTAACTGAAATGATCCAGTATGATTTTGTCACAATCATTGGTTTTACAAAGTGAAATTTCTGTGAGAAGTTCATTAATTAGAAAGCAATCAACACACTTAACAAACATGCTAAGAAGATTCAAATTGGTTTATCTATTTGTTATCAACAAAGCATAATCTTAGTACCATACATATTCTTTACTTCTCACTAACATATAGTATGCAAAACTAGCAAGTGGATTTAAATAGCTTAAAACCCTTTTAGGTCTACTATTCAAGAGCTAGGCATTAAAATACTTAGTATTTCCATTTCTATTAACATAAAAAACAGATCAGAAAATCCTAAGTTGTTTTGTTTTGTTTTTAAGGCATAGTAATATTTTGGTATTGATAAGAATTTGCCTGGTAATGGTTGATTCCACTAAGTTAACTTGAGAACTTGCCATCATTTGCTTTTTATCTTTTCACACAGTGCAAGTGGTGGTCGCTCTTTCCATCTCTCATAGCAGCAAGCCGATTCTGCTATTTTCTATAGCAGCATACATCAGGAGTGGAGAGGGAGAGAGTGTGTCAATTATAAATAATTCAAACTACAGTGTACAATTCTATTTGCCTGTCAGTGTTTAAATTGACAGTACACCATTATATGTTTCAAAAAAATTACATAAAATCTCTACCACAAAAGCAAATAAAGACATTCTTTCAAGAAGAAATAAAATTAAGTGCAAACACCTAAAACAGGCAACTGAAGCAACTGTTGTAACCTGTAGAGAAACACAAAACATTTATAAAAGGACAAAATATTTTTATAAATAAAAGATAATGTTCTCTACTTCTGAAACATTGAGTAAATATAATAAACTTCTAAGTGCAGACTGTCTTTAGGGACCAAGGTACCATATTATTTTTAAACAAAATGCAAAAATTTCAACACATATACAAATCACCAGATTAATTTATATGACCCCCCGATATAATTTAAAAAGAAAATATTAAATTATTATTTAGTACATTTTTAGAACTATTTTATAACCAACATGATTTAAAGGGCATAGTGCAATATTTAGGTAGATGTGACATACAGTATAGATATTGTATTCTTTGCAGATATAACTTACTGTTTCATACTTAAAGGTCAAAATTGTTCTTTTCTATGTTAGCTGTAATGACAGGAAACAACACTGGCTTCTAGACACCCTGTATATGTATAAATATCTACATTTAAGCTTTAAAAATGAAAATAAATTATAAAAACAGACATCTGTCCAATTTACAAAATATTCCTGCTCCTACATACTGTACAATACATTCAACAAAACTCTCAGCTCTTCTGAGATTTATGAAGAAAATACTGACTCTTTACTAATAAGGAAAAAACTTTTTCAATGCTTCTTGTCTTTAGTACTATGCTCAAATAAATACACTTAACACTGTAGTTAATTTTACTGTTTCTGAAAAATACCAAAAATTAGTAGTGCAACTTTCTATCTTCCTTTAGACTTCTTTTCACTGTGTTTCTTTTTAAAATGGTAACATAAGTTAATCAGCACATGGACAAAAATACTTCATAAAATCATGTGTGCTTCCCTTGGCTAATTTCAGAGATTATATGTACTAATATACCTGTCTATAACAAAACTGCATCCTCAAGAGAATAGCAACATACATCTTGTAAAGAAAATATGTGAGAATTTACTTCTGAAATATCCATGAACATTCTTATTTTCCCATCTTGTTCTTTAAAAATAATTTTTTAAAAATCCCATCTCTTTAAAAAAAATAAACAATGAAATTACCCACTCCTTACGTAAGTGGCTTATTAGCTTTTTTTTTTCTTTTTTTTCTTTTCCACTACCGGAAGAGCTTATTAGCATTTTGCCTACCCAGTATAGAAAAAAGATGCTAACTGTTTTAAGGCTATATTAAAACTTTAGAAGTAATTAATTGAGAAAGATTTCACTGCAACCTAATTTAGTATAGAATACAGTAAGGGAATGGGGCATTTCATCAGTTTTAGTAACAATTACAGTATTAGAGCTCTTGAAGTGCTGCTGGTAGCTGTGTAAGTACTCAGATATCTTCTTGCTTGTTCAGTCATGATAAGCTGGTCTTCTGTCTTCCCATAAACCACTGTTTCCCATTCACAATTTGACTAGGAAGAAAAAAAACAACAAAAGTACTAAAATAATATCCATACCTACTCTATGATTAGACTTTTAAAAATTAATTATTTTAATTGATCAGGTATTTTATAAGTCATTACTATAAAATGTTTTGATATTTTAAAAATACCTAGAAAATATTTATAATCAATTTTTAAAAGTCAATTATTTTAACTATCCATATTGCTTATAGGCCTATGGAAGTAGTATAAAAGTTTTTTCCCCAACAGCTCCTCCAAAATCAAATGAGTCTCAACATGGAAAGAAATGTTAAATATTTATTGCTTCCAACTTTTGCAAAAATTTTAAAAATAGGGGGTTATAGACCAACATGGGTGAGCCCTGGGTTATATCACCACCACCCACCACACACAAAAAAAAAGATTTAAAGAGAGGATGTAATGTCGAAAAATGAACCAAGAATGTTTTATGTCTTACAAATTAGTGAATACATTCATCACACAAAGTCAAGTTTGATTTGTTTTCTTCTCATTTAAAGAATAAAGATTACTACATTCTAGGTAGGATCTAGTATATAATGAACTTTTCCAAAAGGTTCTATGTAAATTAAACATTGGGATTAAGAGAATGTACTACATAAAAATCAACTCAAAATGGATCAAAGATCTTGGAATAAGGCCAGAAATTATGCAACTCTTAGAAGAAAACTCAGGGTCAACATGCCTCCATATAGGCACAGACAATGAATTTCTCAATAGGAAGCCTAAAGCTCAGGAAAAAATGCCAAGAGTTAATAAATGGGATGACATCAAATTGAAAAGTTTTTGCACAGCAAAGGAAACAGTTAGGAATGTGAAGATAGAACCTACAGAATTGGAGAAAATCTTTGCTAGCTACTTGTCTGACAGAGGCTTAATATACAGAATATATGAAGAACTCAATAAATGCCCCCAAACCCCCTAAGTAACCCAATTAATAAATGAATTAAACAGACATTTCTGAAAGAAGAAATACAAGCATCCAACAAATATACGAAAAAAAATGTTCAACATTGTTAGTAATTAGGGGAATGCAAATTAAAACTATACTGAGATTCTTCTCATACCAGTCAGAATGGCAGTCATCAAAAATACAAACAATAATAAATTCTGGAGAGGATGTGGAGAAAAAAGAACACTTTTACACTATTGGTGAGATTATAAATTAGTACAACCACTATGGAAATCAGTATAGCAGTTCCTCAAAAGACTAAAAAAGGAACCATTATATGACCCATCTATACTGCTCCTTAGTATTTGTCCAAAAGAATTAAAGTCATCATACTATAGTGAAACATGCTTATTCATGTTTATAACAGCACAATTCACAATAGCCAACCTATGGAACCAGCCTAAGTGTCCATCAATAGCTGAATGAATAAATAAAATGTGGTATATATACATAAAATGGAGTTTTATTAAGCCATAAAGAAAAATGAAATGTCATTTGCAGGAAAATGGATGGAACTTGAGACCATATGTTAAGTGATAATAAGCCAAACTCAAAGTCAATGGTCATGTTTTCTCTCATATGTGGAAGCTAGAGAGGAGAAAGAAAAAGAAAGGTGAAGGGTGGGGATCAAATGAAAATAAAAGGATGACTAGTAGAGGAAAAGGATCAGGGAATGAGAAGAGGGAAAGAACAGGGAAATGATAGGGAGTGATATTGGCCAAATTATATTGTTATATTTTACGTATGTATGAATCTGTAACAATAAGTCTCATCATTATGTACAACTATAATGTCCCAATAAAAATGTGGAAAGAAAAAAAAAAGAGTGCTACATATCTCTTTGAAGCAGTAGCTCAAGACAAATGGGAGGTGACCATATCTGACTGCCAATGACACTTTCAAGTAATGCTTAAATGTCAGGAATACTATGCTGCAATTGTTATGGCATAAAGAAGAAACCCTCCTCTTCTATTAACTTATATTCTTACATTCTGTGGAGTAAGCTCTTAAGGTAACATAGTAAAAAAATTTCAGCCTTTATTTGCAGCAATATACTGGCCACATAGCAACAGATACAAGGATTTTATTTCACTATTTCTGAGCCAAAAACTTTACTGGGAACCATTATAGCAATAAAAGCATGCTGATACTGCTTCCAACCACTTACTCTTTCAGGACAGCAATTAAGACTATTCATATTTATTATAGGAGAAGAGGTGCCAGAAATGGATTTAGGTATCTTTAGTTTAAAAAAGAAATAGTACTTAAGAAATCATCAAGCATCTTTGGCTACAACTCCAGTTGTATGGTTAATATGTACCCTGATGAATGAGTCTCTCAAACCCAAATCTACTTTGAATGACAAAATAATGATGAATGTTTAGGTACTGTTATCATCAATTTCTAATTTAAAAGAAAAAGTATTTGTGATCAGTAAGTCTAGAGTGATTATTGAATAAACAATAACAAAAATCACTAAAGAAATTTAGAAATCCATACCTGAAGATTCTTTTCCAATGTGACACCTTTGGAAGTGTTAGAGTTTGGTTTCTTTCTAGTAAGTGTATATGTTTTGTTGGTTGAATTTATATCTTGTTTTTCAGGAGTCAAGTTGCACCTATTGTCATGTATTTCCAATAATGGTATCATTAATAAAGATGTTGTAAATATATTTTCTGACTAAGAGAAAAAAGAAAGAAGAAAATAACTAATTCAAAAATGGAGACAAACAGAGGGACTACTGAGTAAGTGGTAATGGAAGCCCTGTTCATTTCCCTCCAAGAAAGCATTTGGTTCCAATGCACTGTCTAGTAATATTAAATATTAAATATTAAATATTTTGGGAATGAACCAAAGATAAATACTGAAAGTTTTGCAAATTACCATTTTTTGACATTCATACATGAGAAACTAACTCCTCTCAAAATGAAACAAGTACGAAAAAACAAAGAAGCAAATAAAATATTCTTTACAGTTAATAATTTCTCTTTGCATTAGGCAGAATGATACCAAAGGAAACTATATGACTCTCTAACTGACCGAAAAATAAAACTAGAAACACTAGGACTAAAAACAACCACTTAAAAAATATATTAATTTTTACAAACCTGCATCTCTGAAATGTCTTCAGTCAACAGTTGAGTGCCTGGTTCTTCTTTTTCCCAATTATCTAAGACTAGTGACTTTCTGACTTTCTTCACAGAAGCAGTATGCTAGAATGAATAATTTACAAAAAAGCATCATAGCCAAGTCACTTGAACATGATAAAGCTTTTATTTACCATAATACTAAAATATTACCTCTTGTTTGCAACTTTTATAAGCAGGTTCATCTTCCTCTTTGAGGAATATGTCTGTTCCAGTTTCTTCTTTTAAAACTTCTCGAATATCTTCTTCCAAGAAGGCAAGTGGCTGGGACTAAATTGTTTTTAAAAGGGTTTTTTAAAGTTGTTGCTAACAATTCATTTTTCTCCCTACATATAGAATACCTATCTTTTAAACTTTTACATTATTAGCATAATTTTCTCCTATTGCCTATAAATATATAAATTAATTAATCAGTTTAATGGCAAAAACAATTATTTAAAAATAATATTAGGACTGGGGTTGTGGCTCAGCAGTAGAGCACTCCCCTCTCACGTGTGAGACCCTGGGTTCCATCCTCAGCACCACATAAAAATAAATAAAAAAATAAAGATAGAGAGGCAAAATAATAATAATAATAATAATAATAATAATAATATTAACTTAGTAATGAATCCACCCAAAAAGTGACTAAAAATTTAACTAAAGTAACCTGGAAGTAATTGATATTTTTTAAATTACATTTTATTTCTAGTAACTTTATAAAAAATCTGTATCTGCCTAAAAGTCCATAGTTTTTCTACATTATTTCAAAGGTGACATCATTTATGAGAACACTGAAAACTAGAATACTTCCCAAATCAATCTGTATACTACACTACCACTATTACTGTAAAAATAATAATAGCAACTAAGTACATATTACTTTGAAACTCAAGTCAAGTCAATTTATTTCTGTTGTCTCTTTCAACTTCACCATAAAAATCTGGGATGCACTTTATGATCTCCTGGGTATAGAAGTGAAAACTGAGCCTCAGAGAGGTACCCTGATCATTCAGTTTCCTAGATACTATTTTAAGTACCTGAGTATATGAAAGTAATGCTAGTAAAACTATTAAATGTACATTTTACTATTAAGAAAAAAGTTCCACTGACAACTGTTTTGCTTTCTCTAGATGACCCAAAGAAAGTAAAACTTAAAAATAATCCAAGCAAAAGTTATTTATTGGTCAAGAAAAAAGACTAACAAATTCAAGTTTTTGTTTCAGTTTCAGTGAGCATCTTTTTGATTAAAAATCAAAGTGATAAAATCAGTTTGTTTTATTAAAATTAGAAAAATTCTTAAAAATAAAGAGTATACATACCACAATTTTAAGAGGTCCATATTTTTTCTCCTGAGCAGCAAGTGCATTCTTAAAAGGGGTAGGAGTTCTTGGTGTGGTACCCAATATAGATCTTCTAATAGTAGGTGTTCTAAACCTATTCAACCATGTAGAGATTTATGTTATTGATACTACAGTCAAAAAGGCATAGGGTACACTTTCCTTGCATATGCACATGCTTTATTTAGATGTTCTAAGGCTAAAGAATGGTTGCCTAATTACAATACCAGAATTTAAATTATATTGCAAAGCTATAGTAACAAAATGGTATGGTATTGGCATAAAAACAGACTTGAAGACCAATGGTATAGAATAAAAGGCACAAAGATAAACCCATATAAATACAGTTATCTTGCCAGGTGCAGTGGCACACACCTGTAATCCCAGCAGCTCAGGAGACTGAGGCAGAAGAATCACGAATTCAAGCCAGCCTCAGCAAAAGTGAGGGGCTAAGCAACTCAGTGAGACCCTGTCTCTAAATAAAATACAAAATAGGGATGGGGATGTGGCTCAGTAGCTGAGTGCCCCTGAGTTCAATCCCCAGTACCCCCCAAAAAATAAATAAACAAATACAGTTTTCTCATACTAGACAAAGGCACCATAACATACACTGAAGAAAAGATAGCCTCTTCAACAAATGGTGCTGGGAAAACTGGAAATCCATATGTAGCAAAATGAAATTAAACCCTTATCTCTCACCCTGCACAAAATTCAAACTCAGAGTGGATCAAGAACCTAGGCATTAGATCAAAGATCCTACACCTACTAGAAGAAAAAGTAGGCCCAACTCTCCATTATATCAGCTTCAGAACCAAATTTCTCAATAAGACTTCTAAGAAAGTGCAAGAAATAAAATCAAGAATCAATAAATGGTATAAAACTAAAAAGCTTCTTCACAGCAAAAGAAACAATCAAGAATGTGAAGACACAGCCTAAAGAATGGGAAAAAATCTCTGCCACCTACACCTCAGATAGAGCATTAATCTCCAGGATATAGAAGAACTCAAAAAACTTCACACACACACAAAAAAAACAAATAACCCAATCAATAAATGGGCAAGGGAACTGAGCATGCACTTCACAGAGGAAGAAATATGATCAGTCAACAAATATACGAAAAATGTTCAACATTTCTAGCATTAAGAGAAATGAAAATTAAAGCTTCATTAAGATTTCATCTCACTTCATTCAGAATAGCAATCATCAAGAATACAAGTAACAATAAATGTTGGCGAGGATGTGGGAAAAAAAGTACAATCATACATTGCTACAAATTGGTACAACCACTCTGGAAAGCAGTATGGAGATTCCTCAGAAAACTTGAATGCAACCACCATTTGACCCAGTTATCCATTCCTGGGTGTATACCCAAAGGACATAAAATCCGCATATTATATTGATACAGCCACATCAATGTTTAAAGCAGCTCAACTGACAATTGCTAAACGGTGGAACTAGCCTAGGTGCCCTTCAACAGATGAATGGACAAAGAAAATGTGGTATATATACACAATGGAATATTACTCATCCATAAAGAAGAATAAAATTATGGCATTTGCCAGCAAATAAATAGAACTGGAGAATATCATGCTAAGTGAAATAAACCAATCCCAAAAAATCAAAGGCCGAATGTTCTCTGGGATATGTGGCAGTTAACACACAACGAGTGGAAGGAAGAACATAAATTCAATGGATTAGACAAAGGAGATTGAAGGGAAGGGAGGGAAAATGGGAATAGGGAAAACAATAGAATGATTCACATAACTTTCCTATGTTCATACATGACCAGTGTAATTCTATATCATGTACAACCATAAAATGGGAAGTTATACTCTATGTATATATGTCAAAATACACTCTACTGTCATGTATATCTAAAAAGAATTTAAAAATTTTTAAAATGAAATTTTAAAAATGAAACAAATAATAAAAACAACAAAAACAAATTTGAGCTATATAAAGACAAGAGTAGTTATATTTTTAAATGCAGTATTGCTATTTTCCTGGAATAGCTGACTCTAATGGTCAGTATTTATATACTATGTTTTGCTCATAGGCTGATGTCTACAAATCCTGAGGTATTGCTCATCTTCTCCCTGTTTGCTTTTAAGTGTGTTCATCTCAATATTAAATAGAATATTATAGATTTAGTTTTCCACAAAAGGACTCTAATAGAATTTAAACAGAGAAATCCATTAAATATAAAAATTTAATGTAATAATTTTACTTTTTAGGTTGACCATCAGCATGAAAATGAAAAGATAGTTCATTATAACTATGCATAAACAGAATTTTCTATTATAATTTGTGAAAACTTAAATATTAGATTAAATATCTTGCTTTAAAATTTTTAAAAAATCATTTATACCCAGATTTTTGAGTCTGTTTGAGAATGTGTGCATTTTTTTCCTAAATTATTTTCTTCCTAGCCTTGCTGGGTACAGTGGTAAATGCTTATAATCTCAGCAGCTCAGGAGGCTGAGGCAGGAAGATTGAGAGTTCAAAGCCAACCTCAGCAAAAGTGAGGCACTAATCAACTCAGTGAGACCCTGTCTCTAAATAAAATACAAAATAGGGCTGGGGATGTGGCTCAGAGTGCCCCTAAGTTCAATCCCTAGTACCAAAAAAAAAAAAAACAAAACAAAAAAACCTAGCCCAGTCTTGGTAGGACTAGGTGGAAGAAGTGAGCAAATGGAGTTTTCGAGAGGAAAACTCAAGAGCACTACATAAATTGTCTTAATTTCGAGAAGTGTGGTCCTGACAATCACTTAAGACAATGTAGTTGATATAGCTGTCAGGATGGACTCTCTTTAAAGGAATTCTTTTATAGAATATCATTTTGACACTTTTCTCAAATGTATATCTTTAGTAGTATTTTACTGTAACATAATAAAAGAGATGCACACCAAAAAAAAAAAAAGGTTGCCTAAAGTAATTATTATTCCAATCAATCATCTTAAAATGAGGGAAAAAAAGGACTAATGTCAGAAAAGAGTATTTAGAAGGTTGCTTTGCTTGCAATCAAACTTTCACACTACATTTAGCAGGTTTCCAGTGTCCTAGGGATAAAATATTAGGTTATGACTTCATAAAAGTTCTAAGTCCTGCATGGATACTGATTATAATAAATGCTAAGTATTTGGACAAAAACCTAATCTACCCTTGATGTTTTACTTCTCATTTTCTCTAATACAATTATTCAGTACCTACTTACCCTACATTTTCCTTTTGATCTTTGGGAGTTGTTTCCTTCTGAAGAGGAGTTGTAATGAGAACTTTCTGCCCACAAATAGGGGTTGATGTAAATGAAGGGTTTTCTATATTAAGTTGTTCATTACCAGGACATGTATTGAAAAACTAAAAAGGGAATACAGTTTAAAGGCAAGTTTCAGAATATCAAAATTTATACACAAATATTAAATTGATAAGACTTTCCAATTATTTTATTTGCTTTAGAAAAAGATTATCAATAATATTCCATGTACACTCCACCTCATGAAAATAAAGCTCCATAAAGGCAGTAACTTTTGTTTTGTTCACGGCTCCCAGCACTTAGAACAGCATTTAGCACATAAGAGGCATTCATGAAATAGTTGTTTAACAAAGGTTCAAAAGTTATATAGAAAAGTACCAAAATTTTTAAACAAAAGAGTATATTATTAAATATGGATCTGCAGAAACTGCTGTTAAAATATAAGAATTTTGTACAATATAACTGAAGTAGGTCAGTTTTTAACTGTTATTAATGATCTTAAGTGGACTTTTCTATGAGAGTACCATTAATTCAGAATATAATAGCAGAATATAGGCACAGTGTGATCACCTGTAGTCTCAGTTACATAAGAAGCTGAGGTAGGAGGATTACTTGAGCCCAGGAGTGTCTGGGTAACAGAGCAAGACGAAATATGAAATACAGCTATCTGGAAAATTTGCCTATCTAGAACACAGCACAGAACCTTGGAGCAAACAAAATTTTTATCACAGAATCCATTTTCTAAATTACATAATGTGCTCATTCAGTCATACAAATGTGAAATACTAATTTTTGTGGCCAAAAAAAGAAGTGGAAGTTGCTTCAGGACTGCTACTTTTAAGTGGAATGAATTCTAGCTCTATCACTCCTGTATCCTAATATTTTAATTACTTTACCCTAAGATTAGCAATCAAATCCTCTTTCACAGAATAGTCTAAACTCTTTGCTTTGAGGACATAAGCACGTCAATAAAAATTGCTAGCAGGCAAAACTCCAGAAAAGGAAAACTACTTGTGTGCCCAAACCCATTTTCCCTTTCCTGGGATGTTCTTTAACTGAGGGCTGGGGAAGAAGTAAAGGGAGGCACTATTCACATTATAGTCTATGTAAATGGTGCCCCATAAAGTATGAGGGCACAATTTTCAGAGATCACAATAGCTCTGTGCTACCAGATCCTATTCATATTCCCAACCTCAAAACATACTTCCAATAATATCCCAGCATTCTCCATGTTTGTTTGACCACTAACCTCCTTCCTTGCCCCATAAAACTTTGTGAGGCATCCTAGCAGCTCAGGAGGCCGAGGCAGGGTTTATTGTTGTTTTTGTTTACTTCTTTTTAGTACTGGGGATTGAACCCAGGAGGTACTCTACCACTAAGCTAGTCCT